AGTTGATAAAATAATTAAAATTTATTTTTAACATATTAAAATCAATTTATTAATTACTATTTTTAAATACTCCAATTAATTATTTATGAAAAAAAATTATTATAATTTATGAGCCCTTAACATTTTAGTATATGACCATAATTATGCTCAGCCACCCACCTTGCGTGTCTGTGCATTTAATCTGAAAAATAATGTGGTTATAAAAAAATAAAAAAAATGTTATTTAGGCTAAATTACATATTAAAAATGTAATTTAAATATTAAAATTATTAAAATACTCTTAATAAAGTTCTTTCATGTATTCATTCGTTAATGATAATTTACTAATTTTAATATTTGCACTACTCATAATTGGAAAACGTGAAACTCTAAAAAGGAATATGGAAAATAATGTGTTGTATGTGTCCACGAAACGTTATACAAGCGCCTATGTATACATAAGAGTTACAGAGGTGCCCTTAATCATGATATTGTTAGAGAAGTTAAGTGAAGTCTGATGGATCCTTTGATTAAAAGAAGTTATGGAGGAATTTGTGTGGTAAAGGTTGGTGATTGGTTTTAATAAGTTAGCTCCGTCTAATTATGCTTTAATGACTGAAGCATTAGCTTTGAAAAGTTGTATAACACTCTGAATCTCACCTCAATAGACAATTATGAATAAGTTTGATATATAAGTGTAGAGAGAACTCTATTAGAGACTTGGGCTTGAGATTTTGAAGATTTGTGGATCTTGGCAGAAGACTTATTAAGACAATGGTAGGTTTCAACTAAGGTCATTTTAGTTGGTATTAGAACAGTCACTTCTCGTACATGTTGGTCTATACTAATCATTACAGTTGATGGTAACGTATATCCCACATATATTATAGACAATTGCATAGAATAAATAACTAAATATATATATATATATATATAATAATACTAGAAGAAAACAGAGGGATAGATTGTCTAAAAAATGAGTCTTTCCTTGTTCTTGTCCTTCTTCTTGTTGCATCCCTTGGTGTTGGCTCAGCTTGCTGAAAATCAAAGGAGTATCATGCTCAATCTACCTCAGTTGCTCAATGTCTCATCTTCACCATGGAATGTCACCCTGGAGCCAAACCCATGTTTATGGCAAGGAGTCGCATGCAGCAGCCCCCCAAACAACAGCTCCATAATCTTACTTTCTTTATCTGGGTTCGGTCTCTCTAGCTCTGACTTTCTGAGTGAGGTGTGCAGGATTGATTCTTTGCTGTCTCTGAACCTGTCCATCAACAATTTGAAAAGTATCTCAGATGGGTTCTTCAATGTTTGTGGACGGATTGATGGGTTGAAGGTGTTGGATTTTAGCAGCAACAGGTTGGTTGGTCCCTTGCCTGCTTTTCGAAATTTTATCGGACTTGAATTCTTGGATTTGTCTTCTAATTTTTTGAATGGAGAGATTAAACCACAGTTGAGCCAGTTGGTTTCACTCAAAAGTTTGAATCTTTGTGCTAATAAATTCATTGGGTCTCTTCCTACTCAGCTAGGGAAATCTTTTCTTTTGGAACAACTTCAGCTGTCTAAGAATTTGTTCCATGGGGAAATTCCTGTGAAATTGCTGACACATAAGAATTTAACCCTCATTGATCTTAGTTTTAATAAGCTTACTGGCTCCATTCCTGAAGCCATCGGTAACCTGTCCAAGTTGGAACTCTTGCTTCTGTCATCCAATGGATTGAGTGGAAAAATCCCCAAATCCATTTCAAGTATCAGCACCCTGCAGCGGTTTGCAGCTAATCAGAACAATTTTGTTGGTGTAGTTCCTGTTGGGATTGCAAGATATATCAAAATTTTAGACCTTAGCTATAACAACTTATCTGGGTTGATTCCATCTGACCTTTTGTCACAGTCAAGTTTGCAGCACGTGGATTTGTCTTATAATTTGTTAGGTGGAACAATACCTGAAAGAATGTCTTCCAGCTTGGTAAGGCTGAGGTTGGGAAGCAACTCCCTCAACAGCTCAATCCCTACAACACTCGCAACACTTCAGAACTTGGCTTACTTGGAGCTGGAAAACAATAGCTTTTTTGGGTCCATACCTCCGGAGCTGGGTGCCTGCGGGAATTTGTTGCTATTGAACTTGGCTCAGAATAACATAACTGGGACACTGCCAGCGGAACTGGGCAATTTAACCAAGCTTCAAGTTATGAAGCTTCAGCAAAACAAGTTGGGTGGGCAAATCCCAGCTGAGATTACACAGTTACAGAGTCTGGGAATACTCAACATCAGCTGGAATAATCTTACTGGTTCAATTCCATCTTCAATTTCAAATTTGAAAAGACTCACGAACATGAACCTACAGGGCAACAATCTTGTCGGTTCAATCCCCGTCGCTATTGGAGCCTTGAATCTTCTGTTAGAACTCAACCTTGGAGGAAATAAACTAAGTGGGAGTATTCCTAGAATGCCACCAAATTTGCAGATTGTTCTGAATCTCAGCAGCAACCTCCTTCAAGGATCTATTTGGGACACTCTTTCTCAACTCACAAGCTTGGAAGTTCTGGATCTCTCGAACAACAGATTCTCAGGCCCGGTTCCTGATTCCTTGTCTAGTTTGGCGTCACTAAGGGAGCTCATACTTTCCAATAATCATCTCTCTGGGGTTCTTCCTCGGTTCAACCGGTATGTTTTCGTCAACATAAGTGGAAATCCAGATCTAATAATAACTGATGAAGCGCCGCCACCAAACACTTCCCTGGAATCGGAGAAGAAGAAAGCATCGGTGACATGGACGATTGTTGTTGGAGTTGAGGCCTACATCTGCCTCCTCCTCGGCTTCTTGTGTACGTATTTCCATTTCCTCTTCCGAGATAAATAAAGGGGAACCAAGGAAGAAGCCATATCATAACTTTTTCCACTTTTTCCTTAAGTAGGGAACAACGAATTACATAGCCGTAAAATTTAGAATAAGAAGCCGCCACTCACATGTATAGACGAAAGACCATTGATCTTTTGTATGCTCAAATAATTAACATACTTTTTTCTCAACTCACACTCCATTTCACTTACCTAATTTTTATCTATCCATGCATGGTAAAATACTCGTAACAATTTCAATCCTAACAATTAGAGGAAAATAGCTACACTTTGTTAGTATTATATCTCTGACGTCATTTTTATGATCTTAATCCTTCTTTTGTTTTTGTTCTCATCAATTTTTGGAAACTCATTTCATAACAATCAAGAAATAACATGTAGCATTACATTATAATGAGAAAATGTTTGATTGTATGTTATGGTGGTAGGAGTATTCAATTAACTACTTCAACTTGAAAATGGATAAGATCAACACGTTTGGAGTGTCATGTTTTATGGTGTAAATTAATTTAAATTATAATTTTTTTTGTTAATTAAATATGATAAAAATACAAAATAAAAAAGTATTTTATCAATTGAATTTTATTTTTAATGTGTAAATTACTTTATAAATTTTTAAGAAACTCTTAATAAAATTTATGCTATTTTAATTCAAATATTTTAGTTATTTTATTAAAAATATTTTAATAAAATTATAAGGGTCTAATTATTTTATATTTTAATATATAATTTAAACTGTTTTACATAGATTCCAATACAAAAATTACTACTCCTACTTTATAATTTTTTACTATTTTGATATTTAATCCAACCAAAAAACATTGTAATGTATTATGTATTAGCAAAACGTATATGTTGTTTTGAATTAAAGAAATTCAATTTTTTTAAATAAAATTTTAAATTTAAACTTTATAAACAAAAAAAATAAACTTCTCATTACACGAATTTAATAATAATTTTTAATTATTTAAAATTTAATATAATTATCATATATTAAAAGCCTCGTATAAAACAAAATGTATTAGGTATTGGATTTAACACTTCTAACAAAAAAAAAGAAAAAAAAGGTACTCTCAGTTTCCTTTGATTTCCGATCTTTATCTTCTTCACACCCAAAGCCAAAAACCTCACCAATCTTAACATCTACTATCAAAACAAACAATTCAACCTGAAATTCTCTGCGTCTTTGAATGCATCTTGCGTTTTCAGTTTATATGAAGATGGAATCAACTGGTGAAAGAGAAAATGAGAGTACAACACTGATACCTGGAAAGTGATGATGATGATGATGATGGTGATAGAATGGGGACTGAGGGATTTGTGGAAGCGATTGGGGTGTTGGGTATTGGTATTTGTGTTTGGATTGGCGGCTCCGGTGGTTGGATAACAGAGAGCAGAAACAATGGCTGTGGGGCATTCAGGTTCAGGTGGGAACTTGGCAGACTCTTACAAGGGAATGTCGGCGGATAACATTAAGGGATTGGTATTGGCATTGTCTTCCAGCTTCTTCATTGGCGCCAGCTTTACTGTCAAGAAAAAGGGCCTGAAGAAGGTTGGTGCTTCTGGGCTTAATTAGGGCGGGTATTCCACTTTCCACATCTTTGATTTTTTTCCTTTTTCTTTTGTTATCAAGTGGGGTTTGATCATTTCTCTCATGCTTTCTCGGTTTCTGCTTTGTAATGCAATTTTTGGGCACCGGAATTTGTTAAATTTAATTGGATTTGCTTAGAGCGTTAAATGGGCTGAATTTTAATTTCTGATTTTCGGGCTAGAACGGATTCTTTTAATACGTTAGACCAGGCAGTAAATGTTTTTGCTCCAAAGATTTCTGCTTTCAATGGATTCTCATTTTCTTTGATGGGTTATGATACTTGCTATTTTGAGGTACTGGGATGATTTTTGTGAGCCTCTGTTTTGTTTTCATGTTTTGTACGCAATCATCAACTCAGGCTTGTGCAACGTTTGACAGCCTTAGCAATTTGTCCCTTTCAAGTTCAAACATTTACCCTTTTTTATTTTTTATAAGGTTCCATTATGAGCTTGCCCTCTTAGCTTTAGCCTGGTAGGGTAGTAGAATTGTATTCCCTTTGGTTCATATTGCATAATATCACAGTTGTGACCTTGTACTCGTGAACTGCCCTGCTCTTGGTTCTAATTTTGCAATTTTGGTTGCAGGTAGTGGGTGTTATTCTTACCTCTTTGAGCCACTTTGGTGGATGGGCATGATCACTAGTGAGTTTTCTTTTTCTGAGATTCTTTATGCAGGCAATGATATACTCATTTTCTTGGAGTGTTACAAAGGAACCCCTCCAATGTCCTCTCTTTTTTAGCGCCAACTGCATTCCTTCTCCATCAACACCTTGGATTGAACCTTTTCCTTTCTGCAACAATAAATTCTAGTGTCATGACTTGCTTATCTGAGAAATTTTTCTTTGCTTGAGAAATATACTCACCTCTCTTGATGATGAATTCCAGATATGCAAATATTTTGACATCAACATTACCTAATTCTGTCTACTTTAAATTTTACTTTTCTTGTATACTTTTTCTCATCTATAAAATTAAGATTAGAGTTTTTTTAATTTTATTGCATGAAGAATTGAGAGAAAGGAGAACAAACAAGGAAGATTTGTAACCCTTTCCCTGTTAATATAATTTAAATTTATTATTGCAATGATTATTGAGGCTTTCCATATTTTGTCGCATGTTAGCCAAAATAATCATATCATTATTTGTGTAACAAGGGCAGGGCTGTTCTTCTGTATCATCTGAATTTTGTTCAATCATATGATTCAATCTTATGCATATATGAATAGCTGAAACCATAAATACATTCCTCTAAAATGGCTAGTTTCTCATGTGACAGTGATTGTTGGGGAGATTGCTAATTTTGCGGCTTATGCATTTGCACAAGCTATTCTTGTCACTCTTCTGGGGGCACTTGGTATCATTATCAGGCAAGCAAATGGCACTAATGACCATTGTATCTTGATTTTTTTCCATTCATATTTGAATACTCATGTCTTAATTTTCTTGCAGCGCTGCTCTAGCACGTACTATACTGTGTGAGAAATTAAATATTTTTGGGATTCTTGGTTGTGTGCTATGTGTTGTGGGTTCAACAGCCATTTTTCTGCATGCTCCTCAGGAACGTGAAATCAACTCTGTCAAAGAAGTATGGGATCTTGCCACAGAGCTGGGTATACTTTTCATGAGCAAATGCTTATAGCTATAGCATATAGTTGATGTTGAAGAGGAAGTGTTTTCCCCCCTCAAATTCCTCTTTGATTTCTTCTTTTTTCACTTAACCATTATAGTTGATGTTGAAGAGAGGTTTTTGTCTCTTGTAGCTTTCTTTTGTATGCAGCTACTGTAATAGTGGCAGTATTTAGACTTATATTCCAATTTGTACCTCAATATGGTCAGAAAAATGTGATGATCTATACTGGCATTTGCTCACTCACGGGCTCACCATCAGTATGTTGTTAGTTGTTGGCAGTTATCCTCTTCTTCAATCTGATTAATGTTCTGTGCTATTCTTCACGTCTATTTTATTTATGTATTCATTCATTCTCATTTATTGTTAACATTTCTGACAGGTCATGAGTGTTAAAGCACTTTGAATTGTTTTGAAGTTAACATTTTCGGGAATGAATCAGTTTAGCATATCCTCAAACGTGGGTTTTCGTCTTGGTGGTTCTTACCTATGTGCTTACTCAAATGAACTATTTAAATAAGGTAATGATACCTATGATTTGAAAATTTAAGAGCATTCTACCTCATTTTTCAACTTTTGATTTATTCTAGTAAGTACAAACTGGGCATCACCATCTACTGTCATATTTTTATCATATAATAAGCAGTAAATGAATGTGATTGATGATTACTAAAGGGTCTACATCACTATCAAATAAAGTAACAACTAAATGTTTGTGTCTTCATTGAGTAATGCAGCTTTCCTTACTATGCCATGCTCTCCCTCTAATTTCCCTTTCTTTCTTTCTTTTTTTTTTTATGGTTTGACCAAGTAAATAGCCATTTCATTCAAACAGACATGGACCATAGTGTTTTCTAGGCATTCTATCTAAATATGTATATAGTGGACATTTATATTTAAATATGTACATTCATCTCAATGTACGTAACTATGTATGGTTGTATTCATCAATCAGTTAATGTTTAAATTTAATTGGGCAAGTTGCTTTGTGTGAGAAAGAATAAAAACAGGAAATTGGATGTAAAAGCTTAAAACTTAAAATTGAGGTGTTAGTTTGTCTATTTTTCAATTTACTGGTGAGTACTTATGACGGCAGCTCTGTCTTAAGTTGCAGGCTTTTGATACCTTCAACACAGCTGTTGTATCTCCCATATACCATGCAATCTTTACGGCATTAACAATTTTGGCCAGTGTAATCATGTTTAAAGTACGTTTATTTCTATTTCCTTGGATGGATGATATTCAATTAGTCAGTTGCTAGCTGACCAGGCAGCTTGGTAGCGTGGTTCTTATGCAATTATTCTAGATTCAAGATTGGGATCGACAAAACCCAACCCAGATTTTCACAGAAATATGTGGGTTTTTTACCATCCTTTCAGGGACTTTTCTTCTTCACAAGACAAAGGAAACAGTTTAAGGTATTTACTAACTTAAAAATCTTAATTTAGTCGAATTGGTATTTACTAACTTAAAAATCTTGATTTAAGATCAAGATTAGAGATTTAAAACTTTATATTGTCAAGTAACTAGTCAAAGTTAGAGGTTTAAAACTTTATATTGTCAAGTAACTAATCAAAGTTAGAGGTTTAAAGCTTTATATTGTCAAGTAACTAACTCTTTAATGTACAAGAAAAAAAGTTTATCAACTAGATATACATTTATATAGGACATTAACATAAACGTTAATAGAGAGAAAAAAAACAAGAAAATTGGGTGAAGTTACTTAGTAATTGCATGAAGTGCGGAAAAAAAAATTCAGCTTCAAAGTCATTTGGTGTGTGACATAATAAGAGTCCACCTTCAAATTTGGACTTGGAATGCTACAATAGAAAACGCCTTTATAGTAAAGAAGAAATGACTTTTGCAGTCTTGGTCAATTAGTCAAGGTGAAATTGCAGTTCCAATTTTCCATTACGAAGGAAGATCATAGAGCCACTAGGAGCACCTAGGCCATCGTTACACACAATTTTAAATATTATTTTTAAAATATTAATTTTTTAGTTTAATTATTAAAAAATAATTAATAATTGTATTTATTAATTAATAAAATAATTAATATTTATTTTTAATATATTATAATTAATTTATTAATTATTATTTTTAAATATTATAACTAATTATTTATGAAAAAATTATTATGGTTCATGACGT